TACACATCTCTCCCAGTACTCCAAATCTTAAAAAAAAGAATTAAAATTTCATTTAATATTTCTTCCCAAAGAGCTTATAAACTCATGCACACATGAGTTTAAATACATTGAAGAAGTATGAACCTAAATTTTTAAACTGTTGAGGAATACAAAAGGAAAAAAAAAAGGAATAACAAAAGAAAGATGTTTTGTTTGTTCTAGTTCAGTAATTTTAGGGTGTATTAAATTTTCTTTTAGTCTGAGCAAGTCCAATGATAATTCCTAATAAATTTTTGCTATAAAGTTCAAGATTTTGTAAAATAATTTAGTGAATTAATTTACAAATTTTGTGCTATTTGAAGATGTGGTTTTCTTAAAATATGGGAGAGATATAAGTAAACAATAGATACCTTCTTAAGTGATCTAAAATTTCACCCTGAAAATAATTACCATGAGTCTTAAAAGTAGGATGGGTGATTTAGGTTGAGTAATTTACACAATGAAGGTAGTAAATGAAGGAACAGTCAGGGAGACTGGTAAACAGCTGAACAATTTCTCATTGCCAATTTGAAGCCTATCAATGTGCAGAAAACAGTTATCAATATATCAGGTGTTCAACTGAACTACAGAAAAACTAAAAGAAATGTTTAGGAATTAATGAAATAGTACTGCAAAGAATAAGGTTAAGATTTATGGTTAAAACTGTGGCAGCAGACAATTGTATAAGAACAGATAAAAACATTTTTTCTTCTTTTGGTTAGTAAGTGATTATTTCCAGAATGTTCCCATTTCTAAAACACCTGTTTCTTATGATCTCCTCTTCTGATCTCAGTGTTAGGTGGTATTGCTTATGGTTCTGGCTTGAACCTCTCTTACCCTACTATCTTGGAATCCTGGCCTGTTCTAAAGTTTGAACTATAAATACAGAGGAAAAAAATTCTTCAGTATCTTACTTCTTTATCCAGCTGCATACCTGGATATTTCTACTAGTTTGTCAACTAAGCCATGAAACAGCTAAAACAATAAACCCCATCATCTATTTAAACTAATTCTTTCACTAACACATCCTATAATATGAACATTCCCTCTATCAATTGGGGTTTCAGCACTTCGGAGTTGTTTGAGTGCTTCCTTATAATTCACAAGCTGTAAAATCTTACTAATAATTCCTACTTTTTGACAATCATACTTTTTCTTTGTTTCATCAAGTTTTTCTTTTCTGTCTTTATATTATGCATAAATTATATCCAACTATTCTTCTTATATTTACCCATACATATATGTAACCCCTATATTTTCACAATGATCCACAGTACCATTCCTCTAACTGGATTGCTTCTTTTCCTCAGTTTTCTAGCTCTGCAATACCAAACTCTACCCACTTTCAACTATGAACGCTACCTTCTGAAACAACTTTGGGCAATCACTCCAACTTTCCTTGTGAAGTGGAAAGTGCTTGGATATTATAAAGAGCCACCATTTTCAATTATGTGATAATGATTCTCTTTATCTTTTCCCAAAGTAAGACCAAGCTCATTAGAAGTAGATATTGAATCTTACAATCTTGCTTTTCCTGATATTATACAATCAATGAATTTGTGTCAAATAATGATATCTAATCACTTTCCTTACTAATTTCATTTAAATATTGCTGTTACCATGACAAGCTAACTCAAGGAAATCATGCATCCCTTGAAAATGCTTATCAAACTTACTATATTTAACCAAGTCCCTTATGAAGACAAAACACTCCAAGTGTTTATTCATAAAGCAAATTCTTAAAAGCAGTCTGGTTTCTTCCCTTTAGTCTTCTCTCTAGTGCTTCCTTATCTTATTGGCATGACATTTAAAAGATGGTAAAAACTGTTATAATTCTTACATTAAGGTTTCATAGACAAAACCTCATAATGATGTTTGATTTTCAGTGATTACTGAGACAGGTTTCTAAACTAATTCTGTAGACTTAAGAAAACTAAGAATGAACACAATATTTAAAAGGTAGTCAAAATTTAGCAACACTAAAATGCTAAGGATACCATAAAAATGGACTTCGCATAATATAACCTCTCAGAAAGGTAATTACATAAGATATACTATTTATTTTAATGAAAAGACCTTAAGAAGGGGCTAGATCGGATAACCTAGCTATCAGTATCACTCTCCTCATATATTTGTAATTCCACTGACTGTTTTCCTGAGGACTCTTCAACTGACAAATGAGGAACATAAAACTATGATGGCACCTAAAAGGCTTCAGAGTAGCTTCAATTTCAGTATGTAAGTGAGAAAAACAATGGACACCTCAGAAAAGAGTATCTGAATATAGACAAAGGCTATATTCAGATAATAAACACACACACACACACACACACACGGCTACTGAAAAAAAACTCTCAAATTATTAATTCTATCTTAAATAAAGGAAGAAACAAAGGACAACTGGTAAGTTAAAGAATAATAGCATAATAGTTATTCATAATTTGAGTGTACAAGCATTGATCTCATTCAGATACTGAAGCATGAATAATCAAAGCTGTCTTAAAATGCCATTCCCAGGACTGAAAGAGATGGCTCAATCGTTAAGAGCACTTCCAACTATTCCAGAGGACCCATGTTTGGTTCCTAGCACCCACGTAACTGGATGGCTCACAACTACCTGTTACTCCAGCTCCAGATTTGATGCCCTTTTCTGGCCTCCATAGGTACCTACACACAAGTAGCATACCCCACTACCCAATAAAAATAGGTCTTAAAAAGGCTACCCCTGCTGATAGGCAAATTTATGCCATAAAGAGGCCATATAGGACTTATGGCCTCTTAAACCAGTGGTTCTCAACCTGTGGGTTGCAATCCCTTTGGGGTTGCAGTCAGATATTTACATTCCAATTCAAAACAGTAGCAAAATTATAGTTGTGAGTAGCAACAAAGTAACTTTATGGCTGGGGGGGGGGGTCACCACAACATGAAAAACTGTTAAAGTGTCCCAGCATTAGGAAAGTTGAGAACCACTGTCCTAAATTCTTGAGTTTCTATTTAACAACAGAATTATCTTTGTAAAATACTTATTTGACAAATTGGAAAAAAAAAGGAAAAAGAAAATCAAACAAAATGACAACTAAACACACATTACAAACCCCCAAATTTACAAAAGTCCCAAATTAGGCTATTTGGTGAGATTCAAAGTTAAAATTGATATTTTAAACCTAGTATTACAAAAATCTTTAACCCATTTGCTATGAGAAAAATAGAACCACAGTGCTTTCTCAGTGTCAGTTAACAAGTCGGTAGGTATCTGCCAAATAAAGTTGTTCAAACTGTTCTGTTAGAACTAATAAAGGCAGTTACTTCTTGCGTGTCTTACTCTATCATTTCCCAATCTTAGTTATCAAGGCAAGGTCCCTCAATGATTCTGGACCTTGCTGATTGGCTATATTTGATAGACCAGCAGGCCAGTGAGATCCTGGGATTGTCCTATTGCTACCTTCTTCTTGTATCTGGACTGCCACATTTGATTTTTTTTTTTTTTTAAACATGGGTTATAGGGATATAAGTTCAGGTCTACTGCCTTTTTCCCATCCCAGAAATATATTTTTAACCTATGAGGAACAATTTAGATATAGGACCTGCCTCACTTCTGAGATGCTAAAAGTATCTGTTATCTAATAAAAGGAACAAGTATTTAGCAACAACAACAAATTATGAGCAAGTAACTTCTATTGTTATCTGACAATGAAACAAAAGGACCATTTTAATATTAGATCAAAATTATAGAAAATAAAGGTCAAATCTTTCCATAATGTATGAATGACATGATATTTTATGAAATAATTAAACTGCATTTAAAACTTATCATATTCAAATAGAGTACTATATTTCCTTTATATTCAGGAAAAGTATAAGGCATACTTATATTAAAACTTCATCTGTTTCATACTATAATCTACTATGTATTTCTTTATAATACCTTGTGTTGTTAGGGCGAAACTAATTAAAGCTTGATTATATTCACAGTATTACGAATTTTAAAATTTCCTGTTAAAAAACTGTTTAAAATGATTTTTGGTTAAGGAACAAACCATCTAAAAGATATAAAGTATAAAGTATTAGAAAATATCTTTAGAGTTATATACACAAACAAATCAAGCCTAAAAATTAAACGTTTTACTATTTACTATTAAGGCAATGTAGGTCATGTCTTAATATGACATGTACATGCACTTAGCAACTCTCTTTTCTAATGAAAGAGGTAGAGTTGAGTCTATGAGTGTTATCCAAAAATATGCCAGATGACACAAATGCGTTGCCAGGCAGAGTTAAAAGAATCTAACAAGCTTTATGGGAATTTAAAAAACACTGTGCTTAACTCCTATTAATTACACACAGAATGATGGATTGCTAATAAATATTCAGCCAAATAACTGAACAAAGCATATACTATTTAAAAATGTGTGTTAAGCAGAAAGATAAACCAAAGTATCTTTTGCCAAAATGAAATCAAGGATTCTTTTTTTTTTTAAACATGAAAAATAAGACCTAAACAGTATCTGTGAAAAAGCAACCTGTGTTGGGGCCTTACAATTATATAGATATATGAAATTCTAACAAGTAAACGTGGTGACAATTCCTTGTCAAAATTAATGACAATTTTGTTATTCAGGTCTTGTCCCTCATCCGGTTTTTGTTTTTTGTTTTTTAAATTTTTGAAATGGCATTTGTTTTGTTATAAATCCTATAAAACAACACAAAATTAAGACTGATTAATAGAAAAAATGTTTTGTATTAAAACATATTATTAAGTGATTATTTCACAACAATATGTAAATCCTTAAAAACAGATTAAATAGGCACAGTAAAATAAAAAGCACATTTATATTCTACAGAAAATAGTCTTTTTGGTTTATTTTGCTGCTTTGTCCCATGCTAGATACCATGTGGTTCCCCCTTTAACAAAAATCAGTTTTATGCAAAGCAATTCATGCATACACTTTTCTATGTATGCATTCCATATCAAGTAATCATACCTATCCCAGAGGCTCTTTGATTCCTGAAACGTGTTCAAATGGAACGCTTGGTAGAAAGCAGTTGAAGGATTCCTGTGAGATCCAAGAATCAAATGGAAATCAAGTTGAGAATGTACAGTATATTCAGTACTTACAAAAAAATGGAAGATTTTAGATTCTCATACAGTCTAACCACTTAAATTTGAAAAACGAAAAAGAGAACGTTGAGATTGTTTAAAACAATACTTTGGAAGAAATTATAAAGCATACAAAATTCGGAATCTATAGTAATTCGAGATCAAAGTTCTAAAAGAAAGAATAACCACTAAAGTTATATTCTAGCATCCAAGTGTGTGCACATACACATAAATGTAACCAGTTCAGAGCCTATCAATACCACGTTGTATCAGATGTCTTAATGGTCATCTGTGGTTCTGGCTGTTGTTCTCCAGTAGCATATCCTTGTACAACACAAAGTTTCTAGTATTTGTTAAAAGTGAGAAGGGTTAATGATGAATAATGAAGAGTTCTTCCTTTGTTGGACATGATACATTTCCACTTTAAATTTTTTGTATGTAGTTTCTCTTGTCTAGTGTGTGTGTGGGAGGGGGGAGCAATGCAATTGTATGGAAGTATTCTAATTTTTTGCATGAGTATACTGCCCCCTTTAAAGGGGAAAAACCTATTAACTGTATTACTCACTCCTACTATCCCCAGGAACACATTCCCTAGAGCCAACACCACAGAACTGTAAGTAACTGATGAGCTCATGTAGGCCAACTCCAGTTATGTCAGGCCAACAATTGATCCTGTATGTTAGGAATAATTTCTCATGGAGCTAAGCTTTCAACTAACCTGGTTCCTAACAGTTATCACTCATTAAGGGTAATTCTAATGCCTTCCTTACCATCCACCTGTACTTCAGGGAAGCTAACATGTACCTTTAAAAACCCTTGACTCAGGGCTACAGAAGATGGCTCAGAGGTTGAGAGCCTATCTGCTCTTGCTGAGGACCCACGTTTAATTCCTAGTACCCACTCACAACTGCCTAGGAGCCCAACTCCATGGAATCATCCACTCAATCAATCAATCTTTCTTCTTTGAGGCCACAAGGAAAAACAAAACAACCAAATGTTTGAGTCATGCTATAGTATAAGAACAGCAGCAAAGAACATACTATATACCTGATGTTATTCAAACTGCTTTACATTTATTGACTCAATCTCCATAACAGCCCTACCTAAAAGGGGTAAGGGGTAACTTCCCAATGTCAGAATAGGTGGTCTAATTTTATGCTTTTAAACCACTGTAGTAAACATACCAGAGTTAAAACCTGACTGTTCTAGCTCTATCTTCCTTTAAATAAGTTACTAAATAGTAAAGCATTATGATCAAATAATACAATAGTTTTATTTAATCTTGTCCAATAGTTGAAGACCTGTGACCATACTAAATCTTCTGGGTACAACCAAGGCTAATTGCTACTATGGTATTAAGCAATAATTTTCAGATGCTTTTCTGAAACCTTAGTAGGTGCCTTAAGAAAGGCTGCTGAATTATAGTACAGTAAGAAAACTGTTTCTGGGGATGGAGAGATGAATGGTTCAGCAGTTAAGAACACTTCTTGCAGGTGGTGGTGGCATGTGCCTTTAATCCCAGCACTTGGGAGTCAGATCTCTGAGAGTTCAAGGACAGCTTGGTCTACAGAGTGAGACCGTCACAAAAAAAAAAAAAAAAAAAAAAAAAAAAAAAAAAAAAAAGAAAGAAAGAAAAAAGAACACAATTAGATTCAGTTCCTAGCACAGATGGCAGATAGCAACTTATTGTAACTCCAGCTTCAGGAGAACCAACACCCTCTTGTGGCCTCTACCAGCACTGGCAAACACACAGCATACATTCACACAAACATATGCATATACATGTAAGTGGGAAAACCCTTAAAACTATTTACAAAGCTGACTGCAATAGCAATCAAATATCAACAATCATTAAATTAAGAACTGAATCATGACTTCAAAACCTGAACTGAGTCAAGCTGAGCTGTATGCACACCCATTTTTTTATACTGCACTTTAGATTTTAATCAGTAGATACCACTTTTGATAAACTAGGAAAGGCACAGACACTGGGTAATGCAATCACCAGAGTAACTGTTGGATTAATTAGGATTTTTAACAATGTAGTTTTTACCACTTTCCTTACTCTTATTTCCTTTCGATTCTTTGAACCCTTTTTACTTAATTAGGTCTAAGGCAATCAAAAGCACAGATTAGAATTTTCAACCACAAAGTTTAAGAGGATTCTGACATCATCTAACTTTTATGAGGCTGCCTTTTTTTCACTGTACTTCAAAATCAAGTCAGCTAAGTAAGACAAAAGGCAGATGAACTGGAAACATAATTTGGCTCCTCTCACCACCAATTAAATCAGGTCTGCCCAGGACCATATGAGAACTGAATTGTGATTCCTTATATTGTTTAGAAACTTCAACTTAAATGGAATGACTCAAAGAAACCAGAAGGAGGAGACTAATACTCTAACTTTGAAGTTAGTACCCAGTTTGGAATTACAAATTCTTTATAAAGAGCATTTTAAATTTAATATTTTCAGAGGGAAGACATTTTTAAAAAGAACTTTAGATATTTCAGCTTTGGAAATACCTATATTTAATTTGAAGCAAATTTACTTGCTAAGCAAATTGGCTTCAAATAATGTAATGAAATGCCATCATATTTTCAATGTAATGGCACAATGTTTCTTATAAATCAAACATAAAATAAAAAATATGATCTACTATTAATAGTAAACCTCAGGGTATGAAAAGGAAAGATAGATTTTATTCAGTGCTTTTAAAAAATGTCTACAAACAAGAAAACAACAGTTTCATTTAGACTACAATAAATTCAATATAAACTACATCTTATTCTTCTAAGAAGTGCTTCACTTAGTAGTTTATATTTAATTCAAGTAAGTTGTTAGGGAACTGGTTTCAAATGTAATTTCTTGCAGAAGAAAATATTGGTCAAAATGCACAAAAGTTTAATAATATGTCATTTACAACTTTGTGCTATCAAGTTTCATTTGGCACTGACATGATCTTATTACAAATAGAGCTTTCCTTGGGGCCTTAGTAACCTCAGTTTTTATGTAATTCTAAGTTAATTGTGCCCACTGATATTTACAAATGGCTTTTTCTTTCTCTATCCCATGTCTTCATATACCAGTCTGTCACAATTTCCCAGTACATGAAGACAGTGACAAACATATAACACATATCCACTTACTTTAGCTATAGGAGGGAGAAGAAATACACATGCATATCCTACATCTCAAAATAAAGCTAAAACATTAGTGAAGCTTAAAGGGAAAGGAATGTCTCAACTCAGCAAAAGCCTCTTTCCTATAAGTCAAAATTCAGCTTTTAAGATTTAAATGGAAGTCAGACAAATAAAAAAAGCCAACAAGGATCATCCCAAATTTATGTGTGGATTTTAAGTATTTGTAAGTATCCTTCAGGTAAATGGTCACAATATAACCTATCAGTGATTACAGTAATTTTCCTTTCTTAAGGTTTGACACAATCCACCTTAATTTCATGTTGCACAAAATCCAACTTTATTAGAGAATCTTAACATGAATCAAGTACCTCATTGCTATTCACGGTAATGTTGAAGGAAAGGGAATATTTAAATTCAGAGCTAGGTGTACCACGCCACTTAGTACATTCTACCAAAAAACAATTCAGACTTGGGCCTCAGTGCAACACCACCCCCATCCAAAACACAATTTATCACATGAATATATAATACAATAATTACTGAAATGAGCATTGAAATAAGTTATAGGAAGAACACTACTTTAGTAATATAAACTTCAAGAAATGCTTTTAAGTAGCATCTATGTTAATGTAAGAATCTAAATTTATTGGGGTATTAAGCCCTTCACTGTTTCCTGTAAAGTTAATCAAATAATTTACCAAGTACAAAAGTCTCACTCTTCAGTTTCATTCACAAGCTGTCACTTCTTTGAACTTAGCAAGTCATTTCATCAGTGATCTAATGTGAATGGCCCTTTTAATTAAAACTCAGTTCAAAAGTCAGAAGAATGTACAAATAACAGGTTGGTTCTGAATACAGGAACTAGGTGGCTGGAGATAAGAAGTTTTCAATTTATCCTGGTTTGGATATTTTAAGTTATGAACTATATACATACAAGTATATGCAAAGACAGTATCTCAACAGAAATCAGATTATATTAAGAAATCAAATTTCTTAAAATGTTCCTTATTAGCACTTACTATTTACTACATCAAATTCTAATACATATGCCAAATATAATCTAATCATTTAGACTACCACTTTGGAAGAGAATTTCATTTCTGTACTCTAAAGTTTACTACTTGGAGAACACTACAACAGTTGAATGACTGGTGTATTGTTCCTTTAGCTGTTTATTTTGCATTCAATTTACTTGAGTATTTCTTCAATTTACTTAAGTATTTAAGTAAAGAAATAAGCTTCATTTTCTCCCTTCCAATCAACCAATCATACAATGGTAGTGGCCATTGTATTGATTGTGACAAAAGGTTCTTCCCAAAGTCATCTAAAAGTGTGGGTTCAATAGAACTAGATAGAACCTTAAAATATGACCACGTCCCACATTCTAACTTTACCAATTCAGGGGGTTGAGGGAAAGTAAATAATTTGATCAATTAAATCAGCAGAGTAGTTGAAACAATCAAGACTGGAACACAATTTGCTCTAATTATTACTATATATCAGGACTAGTGTAATATTCTTCTTTTCCATGGGTACAAGCAGGCAGGCAAAACACCCACCCATATCAGTCTTAATGCTTGCACACCAAAACTGAAGACTTTTGGTAAAATTTGTACCATTTCAAGGTATAATCTATAGAAGAAATTTGGAGCTGAAGATGTTTACTCCATACTATCTTATATTATAGTTTATTCACATAAAATTGAATTCTTTATTTACACCAGCAGTTCTCAACCTGTGGGTCATGGCCCCTTTAGGGTTGCACATCACACATATCACACATGTATCAGATGATTCATTACAGTAGCAAAATTA